CATAATAAGTGTGGATTCATTTTTTATGATTGAACTACGACGGGATGAGTGTGAAAGGACAGAAGATGTCAGGATTTACGCACGACCTGATGGCAGGCAAGGAGATTCTGCTGAAGCAAATAGTCGTTCTAAACTCTTGATCTTTGTAAGCAGAGACCTCAATGGGATTCTTCTTGCAATACGGCCATCACTGACAATCGTTTGATATAACATACAAAACCCTGAAGAAGTCCTTCTGCCCGTACGACGATCTACAGCAAAGCACTAGGAGCAGCAATTTCTAGAAATACCCTCGCAATTTTGAGGGTCTGCTTGGAAGATCGTAATTCGTTCTTGGTATAAGATACCGAATCTTAGTTTTCACATGCAATACTTGCGCTCCATGCATGTCATCGGGGTTTCACTGAGTACATCAAACGATGTAGAATTTCCTGTTGGTGGCATGGCTAAAATCAGTGTTCAAACTAATAGACATCGAATTTTACTCTGACTATCTTCTGATGGGACTGGTACGAACGGGGCGGACAAGGTCGACCTATCCTTAATATGAGAATGAACGACTCTATTACACCTGGATTGTAGGAAGTTATTAGGAACAACTTCATGCCACCTAAAGGTATTGCGACATTGGTAGGTCTGTTTCCATTCATTTCTAGTTTGACTGGAATTTCTGTCCGTGCGTTTCCTCTCTTGGTTGGTTCTTGACTTCCTACGAAAAGGTGATTCACGTATTGACTTAGCTTTCGTAGGGCTCATTATCATTCATCCTGTATCCCTCCACCATATCAAAAGTAGGTCTCTTTTACGACCTCCTGTCTCCATCTTGTTCGTTTCTTGGTGCTGTTGATGATGACTTCAGAATCGATATAATGACGCTGTCGATCGGCATGTTCTCTCTTATGATCTCTCATCCGTTCCAAAAGATTCAACCGGATTGAATCCTACACTTCGTAGTCACTCATTAGTTAGTTGAGAAAGTCAGACGGATTGATTGTGTATACTGGTGAGCCGACTATTGCCATGTATAATAAGCATATTCTTGGCAGGTCGTGCAGTCATTCACATACAAGTCTTTCTGCTATGAAGTTCAGAATAAAAACACACAAGTGCCAGGGTAAAGAGTCCGAGGCAAACGTGATGCACGATCGATTTATGCACCGATTCTCACCGCGCAAGTTTGCGTGGGCTACAGATGGCCATAGCTGTGTGAGCAACGTCTGGACGGAGTGGAGTAGTCAGAAATCTGCAATCATGCATCTTTCTTCTTGGTCATTGACTTGACAGATCCTGAAGCACATGTAAGTGTGTTTCATATTCCTTCAGCGTTATAAGATGTGGACCTGGTCATTTCCTGACCATTTCCTTTCATGTACAATACTTATAGATATTACATAACATGGATAGCTTTCTGCTGTTTTCAGAGATATGTGTAGATGCTGGGGAAACAACCATAATGTTCACGCTGTATAAATTTACTTATAAATTCTTAACTCAGCAATGCTATCATATTCTCCATAACAGAAAGGGCCTCTGCTATTATAATGCCGACAGATACTGACAATTATACATCCTTCTAATTCACATCAACGTATGAGCAACGCAATGCTAATAAGTGTTTCTCGAAATTCACAGCATATTAAGGTATTATGTTTGCCCTCTTATGCTGCTCCTTATATAGCGTTTAACACTACGAGGAAGAACGTTAATAAACACGTAAAGAAGTATATAAGTTCATGTACTACAGTGCCTTGCTTGAGCACTTTATCTTATTCACTTTAACGGAGTGACACAATAAAGATGAGCCACTGTACCTCCAGTCCAATACAAATTATCTAGCTATTAAGCTAGATAATTAGTTCGCAAACTCAGCTTATGAACAATTCGGTGAGATCTGTATGAAAGTTTAAGAAGTAAATGACTCGCTTCCAAAGTTCTTGGCCCATCGGTGGCATCCAAGTAAATATTATTCTACATCTTCATTCGAGATGTCGGAGTCCTATACAACAGAATACGGGCGATTTGGGTTTTAGCCATGTGTTAGTCTTTATGTTCAGTATACTAAGAAGGGTGCAAATGATGCAAACCCATGGCATAGTGTGGATATCATCAGTTTCATATTCCCATCTCTTGAACTAAGAATCAGCTATCGAAATTTAGTGTTAGATCGCTTCTCATACGCTTCTTTTCCTAATTTTCTTTTTGTACCTCACTAGTCTCCCGCTTGTAACTCCCATCAACAGTACAAACACTCTCTTAGTGATCTCCCGTAATTTTATCCCATAAGTCATATATTAGTTTTCCCTGTTTTGTCCTTCTCTAAAATGGCAAGTCTTCGAATCTAAAATTTATCACAATGTTCACCACACACAGCTGAAACCTCATAGAAATGAAGTTTTTCCTAGTGCGATTGATTCAAGGATTGACTACTCATGTGAGTGTCCTAGAACGTTAGACGAAGCAAGAGTTCATTAAAGTTGATGCATATCTGGAGGGGAGAATATAGCTACCCACGATGCTACTACTCATGAGGTGTGTTTGCAATATCGAGAGTGTGGGATCCTGACACCGAGAGAGATGTCTATCAGGATCATAGAAGATTTAAACCTGCCTCAAGAGTAAGAAGTCATGGTCGTTAAGGAATGACAAGTGTTATAGTTTTGAGTGGGTGATTATTCATCCCTCGGAGGATTTATGAGTGTGCACTCATAAGCCAAAGTGTCCAAATATAAACCTTTACAAAAATATTAAGTCTTAAAATTAATAAAACAAATTCTTCAAAGAACCATAGTAAATGCTAGAGCATCATAGTATCATTTTGGTTATGAAGAATTTTACTTCACATCTCTTGTCAGGACAGCTATGGGTTATTCACTTTATTCTACATTTTCTTCGTATCGATGGATTTTAGCTATGCAGTTGGCTAGAATGTCGTGTTAATCCAGCCCGTTGAGCTGATCCGGTAAGCGGCACCGGCTTGCGCTATAATTCGTTGCTCTACCGTTGCAATTCAGATTCGTAGCAAGAGAAAGGAAAAGGAGAGAAGGAAAACCGGACAAATCAGCCAACTCTTGTTTTGGATTCATGCTTTCGAATTAAAATAATGTAATTTGGATCAAAAGTGTTGCACATATTTGTCCGCATGGATAAGAGCAGTAGCAGGTACATAGCAATTGGTGCGATGAGTTGCAAATTTTAATGCTTATTCAGTCGTCCAGACGTTGAAGCTCATGCCAGGGATCCGGACTTACTTTTTGACTTTGTTCACCCAAACCACAACAGAAAGTAAGCATTTGGAAGTAAGCATGACCTCGACGAGAGAGGTACAACTGGAGGGGATCTTTCGGGTCGGACATTGTTTGCGCTCAACCATGTGTCCAATTCTTTATATGTCAACCAATCACAGGCCAATTGACTTGGTGTAAATTTATGTGAAGATCGCTGGGATCGCTCTGTATCGATTTCGTACCGGTGAAGTAAACATCTGGACAGACCTCTTATCAGCTGTATATAAACGGCGAAATTTCACGTACTCACAGACCTTGAAGTTTAATTATGGTCTCTTCTCTCGATGTGCAGTCGTGAATTTGCATGAAACTGTACCTGCAATCTAAGCATGAAGTAGCTATTGAAATGAGCGAAGACTGAGGTCCACTTGCAATATCTTAATCTTCGAATGAAGTCCGCCCCCAGCACCGTCCCTAACCAGGAGTTAGCTCCCCTGCAAGACAACGGACGGGTCTGCATACAGTATATCCATAGACTGCACAGAATTATTAGCATCGGTGAATGGAAGTCAATTGATCAGAGGACGACGAGGAACGTCAATAGATGTCTAGAGATTTGTGTACATGCCGAGTCCACATTGTCATATACCACGTCATGTCATACCCCGCCGACCCCATGGATCGCCAATTTCTTCCTCTGGAGGGAAAAAGTGCTTCCAGACTATAATCAGTGCTTTGTTACGATACGATCTGGTCTCTAGTTCCTGTCACGCTTAAAACTTTCTTATTTCGTGACTACTGTGCCAATACTTACGACCGAAGACTTCTGTCCGGCTCCTCGAAACTGTTCATGGCTCTAGAGTTCTAGGGGAAATAAAAAAATTAGTGATCCCCTGCACTCTCATGGCTCTCTAAGAACTGACCAAGTGACCACCATTTCCAGTCTTTCCTGATCAAGTCTGCATCTGGACGAGAAGAACCGATACTGAGAGTGTCCACGACGGTCAGAATCTTTCTGTCATAGTTTATCTAGATCTAGACTTACAACGACCGACGTTTACTTCTGTCGAGGGTATGGAGAGCACTAAATTCCGACCGGTACTTCTGTTATCTTCCTATTTTCTTGCGCTCGTCATGGACCCCGATGAGAGGCTGAAGCGGGTGCTAACATTTTGTTTGGGGGAATTTTGTGTAGGACGGATTCTTCAACTTAATTTGAAGAATCATGATTATGATATGTGTCGATCATTTGATTATGACGTTTTCCTGTTAGCAAGGAATGAGGATGAGCTCCTATATTCTCATCTTTCACAGGATAGGGTTCGATGCTCCAATCTGCTTTGATGATTTTCGGCGGCCGCCATTGTTGACGAGCTCCACGGAGTCCGGCCTTGTCCGCTGCTTCTATCATAGCTCAGGCATTACTGTAGACTAAGGTCTGAATTGTTTTGTAGACCATATGGATCGACACAGGACTGGGTTGAGATAGTTACCTAACCCTTTGGACAGTGATTGCTGTCTATACAACACTCTGTACAAGTTGCTGGATTTTTACTTTGGCCCTCTCGTTTGCCATGTAGAGATTCTTTGTCTGGTTGTGCTATTCATGAAGAACTCCAGTGCACGTCCAGCCACAAGATGGAGGAATTGGTTCATTGCCATGTAGAGATTCTTTGTCTGGTTGTGCTATTCATGAAGAACTCCAGTGCACGTCCAGCCACAAGATGGAGGAATTGGTTCATTGATAGTTCATTGGTAATTGCGTGTAGACGGAATGCTTTGCAAAAAAAGTAATGCCTTTATTGATGAAGAAACTCATCAGGTACTCACTCATACACTTGGTAGATATACATTGAACATCGGCTGCGCGCTTTTGCAAGTGGTCATCCCAAGGGGCCGCCAAAGAAGTGCTAAATTTGGATCATACCGAGCTAGCTCATACACTAACGAAATCTGTAAGCCGTAGCTACCGCCGACCGACAGATTCACCAATGAATCACAGCATGTCACGATCTGCTCGTCTTTCGCTCCTCCAAGTACTGTACAAGGCAAGAAGCACCATGGCCAAGACCACCAGCCTCGAATTCCGACAGATTTCTGCACAATGCACAGATGGAAGAATTTGAGTGCCTGCGCCGGTGATTCAGAGTAGACGAAAGGAAACGCATGCATGTCAGAGAAGTACGCGTATATGGAGAGAAAGACTTACATTGGAAAGCATCCGCATACTTCTGGTGTAATCGTTCCCGGCTTCAATATTGTACATATTCGCTACAATCCAAACCCAACGATTTCGATATGCATGTATGCAACTCGTGGGAAAAAAACAAACTGCGTTCCGGTTGGGAAACTATTTGCTCCTATGCTCTGTACGGTTTACCCTCCACCTAGGTTCTGATACATCTAATGTATCTTGTTTAATAACACTTCTACTGAGTCCAGCGATGATGGATCACTTCCATGTCCTGCTGAAGTTCATGCTGATGAAAGCCTCCAATGCTCCTCCTCGGGGTTCTCATCAACAAGTTGTCTCAGAAATGGCTGTCAAAATAGGTACGATGAGATAGTATCTTCATTATCTGGTCTAGAGTGTGTTCCTTTTCCGAGGCAATTCTGGATTCCACTCGCGGGGAACACTTATTGGGTACTCGGGACAGAGCTCCTGCTGACCACCAGAAGCTGAGCCCTTGCTCAATCGTCTTACTCGACGACTTGCAGGATGAAGAAGTAGACGACGACGATAGGCAAGAAAATCACCAGTTGAGTGATCACCCTGCAAGATTCAGAATCAGATCGATCAGATTTTGGAGCCATAAGCCAGCCATAGATGCTACAAATGCAATGCAGAATCAGAGAGTTGCATGATCGACTGCAGGCTTTTATACCACCAAGTGTAGCCAAACGTTCTAACTACAGCTTCATGAGCAGATTCTTACGCTGTAGAGAAGACCTCGACGTCAAGCTTGTATTCCTTGGCCAAAACGAAGGACACCAGTCCCACCGGGAGTGCAGCCTGTCAAGTGAAAACAAGTCCAACTGTTATTATCATCCTTGAACTCGGACGAACATACCTGAAAGAAATTGAGTAAGACTATTCTGTCAAAAATCACTTCACTGGGAGATCTTGAACTTACTTGGAGGACAGAGAACTCGAAGGAAATTCCTTTCAGGCCGAAAGCCAGAGAGGTTATCACCATGATCACAGGACCGACAATGAAGCGGATGAACCATCCGTAGAACATACGTTTGTATCCACATGACACTAATTTCCCAGACTGGCTCCAAGTGAGAGCTGCAACACAAGTCAAGCAGTCCACTGAATCAGCCGGCTGAGCATAATAAGGCAGGTACTCACGGGGGATTGTCAGCAATTGCACTTCTTGTCTTCTCAAGGTCAACAAATACCCAAAAAACCTTCAACTCGGATCTAGCTAATGTGCAATGGAAAGCGCATCTTCGGAGGACGGAGTCACGTGTGCACGTACCCATCGTCACAACGGAAATTGCAATCGCTCCCTTAGCAATCATCTCAATAGGGGTAATGATGGTGTAAGGCATCGTCCAGTTATATCTGCGCAAGCGGAATCAACGACCCTGTTAGTATCCAAGCGAAAGGTGTCCTACAAAATCATCGTCTTTAGCAGCACCAGCAGAGACCGATCAATGAACATGAAGACAGCAGTCAGCGGACCCCACGGGCAGACAGTTTCTCTTAGTCCCAGCTAACATGTTCAGCTCAATCTGATTGCCTTCTCTACCATTAACTACGTATTGGAACTTGATATTCGATACACGTTCGGCTGCACACGTGAACCAATATAAAATATTGGAAAGCTTCCTCTATGGCATTAGCACATATGGTCGCAGAGAATGTTATCATTGTGTATTTCACCTCGAGTCAAGTCTGTACTTTCCTCCAGCCTTCGTCTTGAAGATTTCTGCTTCCAGGCCTGGGCCCGGAGCTGAGACGCACGTGCACGCGCACACGGTGTCATTAGAAGTCCGAAAGCTTCAGACTGGCTTCAGCTCGGTCAAATACTGAGCGATGTGGAATGACCATCGTCAAAAGGTGGACACACTGTCAGACACGCATGTCGTACGGAAGACGATCCTGGAATTTGAAAGCACTGCCATCGGCAAGCCTCGAGAAAGCTAGACCGACATTCGTAGGGTGGTTGCAGTGCTTTACATTCTGTTGACGTTAACCCTGGGTGATGCGAACATGGAAGTTTCGTCACCGCGGAGATAGACGGGAAGGTCGGGTGGCCAAGGTCCACGGAGGCATATATATATATATATATATATATAAAACAAAGGAAGTCTGAGATTCTCTAAGTACGGATTCCTATCTGGGACGTTCAACAAGTACGTCTCACGGAAGACATATTTTGAAGACTCTATCGGGAAAAGAATTACTTGTTGAAGTTAGAATACTTCACCTGCCAATGTGAAAATGGTGACGGCTTTCACCCGAAAGTAACACAAAACCAGCTGTAGCAGTTTACGAAATAGCTACGGCTAGTGTTGATCGTGGCTACTTTTCCAGCAGAGAAATGTGGGAATAGGAAAAAAGGAGATTGAAGAGTGACTTTACTTGAAAGCGAACAGCGAGTAGATGAAGCCGATTGAGCTGGTGTACAGAAGTGGTGCATATTTCACTCGGTTGACGACCTTGAATGCAACGATTTTCACGTAAGTGAATCTGCTCAGTTCAGCGCGAGTTGGTTGTCTTTGTGCAGCGGTCTCGGGAGTCTCTATTTGGATGATTTGAGTATTCTCGATAGTCTTTGTGACTACTCCACCCGGGATGTCAAAAGTGATTTGAATATCTTTGGGCTTGTTGATGGTTCCTGCATGAGAATAAATGGAAATCGTCAGCCAGTAGGAAATATGAACTGAACCTGAGCTGGCCAGAAGACCAGATGTCCTCGACCTGATTTTCAATGCACTCAAAGTTTTGCAAATGTAAGAAGTGTGAAGTGTAAGTGAAGTGTAAGTTACCGTCTTTAGAGGACGAATCCTCCTCGACCTGGTCGAAGTTGAATAATGGTACAATGCGAGAAGTTGAAAAGGAAACACGAGTCGGTGCAGAAATCGATCGCTTCAGTGATCGTGCATCTTTGTTGGTAGGAAGAACACTGCTCTCCGTGCTGCTCCACAAAGGAAGACCAGGTAGTGCGCTAGGGTGCGGCTCTTCGGTATTTGCAGACTCATTCTTGAGGGTCTCGTTGTCTTTGCCTCCCATTTCATTCATCACGTTCCGGATCTCGAACATAGCAATGCACAGGTTATACCACAACACGCACTGCAAGAGGATGATTGTGGCGATGGACACATCCGATGCAGTTCCGTGCAGGGGTCTGAAGAGAGCCGGCCCCACTAACACCATGTTGCTCAGAGTGGACAGCATGAAGAAAGTAATAACTCCATCGATCGTCGCTCTCTTGGAGAACCTCCACCAGACCAAGGCTATAAGTAGGACCACAATCTTCTGAAGGGCATCGGCTCCGACAAGCCGCAAATTCGTCTGGTAGGGATCATTGGTTGCCACCATATGTCCTACATAGATGGGAACCCCGACCAGAGAAGTCCATCGGTTCAGTCCAAGCGCATGGTCTTGGGTTAAAATTTTCGTACGTGCCATGCCATATGCTGGCAAGAGAATAATGAAAAACGGAAGGATGTACTGAAGGAGCAGCCAAAAGTCTTCTCCCGTCATTGCGGCCATTGTGACTGTCCACGAGATCCAGGTGCAGGCAAGATTGTACTACAGGAGAGCGTTCTATGCGCGAGGCTCGTTACGAGCTTGGTGATCAGACTTTGAGTTGAGTGACACTGAATCGTTGTGACTGTTCCAGAGGGGAATTGATACAAAACTGATCTCGAGATGACAATTATCGGAGAATAACTGTAATCTGAACGAAGAGAGGCAGCGCCCAGCCTTCACTGACTTGTTAATTCCGGTACTTTCTCGTGCTGCGGAAAATCTCTGTGCTGTTAGCTGTCACTCACTTCTACAGTAACCCGCTTGGTTCACTGTGTCGCCGCTAGGGGCACAATTGTCACTCCTCAACAGACTCAGGAAACAGGTATCCTCAAATCTCCGCCGCCGTGTTCTAATCAGGGAGTAGAGTGGATTCGAACTCTTCTGTGAAATGATGGAGAGGGAGAGAGAGAGAATCCGTTGAAGTCAACCTCCAATGTCGAAGCTCCAGTGAACACTGCAGAGATGTTGGAAGAACTCAGCCTTTCCTGGTCAGCTTGTGACGTCCAGATTCTTCGTAGACGGTCGTTCGAGCAGCCGGCCGGCCAAACAGCCGAGGGAGGGAGGGGAGAGATACGGAGAGCTGGATCACAAACACGGTCTGGGACCGAAAGATGAGGAGAGGAGACGAGAAGAGAAGAGAAGAGAGTTGACAAGGCAGGCAAGCTCTGAAGTCCACACACTCCTCCTAACCCACGGCGCTGCTGGATCTCACACTGCTCTCGACTTCACACACCTGTGCTGGTTTTATAGCTCGGGGCGGCCCCGCGTTGCAAGGAAGAAGGTACAGGTAGCTCACTTTCGTCTTCGTCGGACGGCTGCTGCAGACACAGGTCCACACGCTGCTTGTCGAGAAACTTCCGATTACTGGAGCTTGATCAGATGCCCGCTTCACAGGTCAGTCCACTCTTCTGCTGTCTGTCAGCGAAGGACTGACTTCTCGCGACGAGCGGCTGCTGCTGCTGCTTCGAGATGCTGCTAAGCAAATGTGATTATGCAACGGAGCGCAGCCCTCTACTTATAACCTCGCCTGCAATTAGTAATTGGAGGCACCATATCACAACGTGGTTGCACTCCTCTGGCAAATTGCTCACGTGGCAGACTGTATGCATGCCGGGAACCAACGCTTTCCCGGCCGCGCAACGTCCGTGGCCGTAGACTTGAGCCCGAAGATTCAGAGCAGTGCCGGTAGAGTGTACAGCAGCACAGTGCTGATACGGCATTTACTGGTACCGGATACCTGCAGTTTCCGGCTTGACTGCTGCCTACTCTCAATTTTCTTGGGTCCCACTCTTTGCACATTCCACTTTTCATGGATTTCTTTTCCTTCTTTTCCTTCTTTTCTCGGCTCTCATTATCTTTTTGGGTTGTTCACGCGCCTTCGTCCTTCGCTGCATCTATGGAAAACATGCTCGTCGAGAAAGAGAAAGTGGCGATCCTGTTATATTCCTTAGACCTTCGCCCTCCCTCCTAGATACTAATTATACAGTAGCGGCACAGGCGTGAGAATCCTGACTCTGGTCCTTGAGGAGCGCAGGAAATTGGAATTTTCTGACCCTTGCCATATGCTGGTCGACACAACCATGGTTGACACCTCCGTAAGATTCGAGTTGAACGATGTCGAGAGCTCCAGCAGTTGACACCGGACCTTTGTCACCTCTTAATTTAGCACTTCTTTTGTTCCGTTCCGGCGCAGTTTTATAAGCCCTCTTTCAAGTTCCAAGCCTACCACACCCACATACCAGGGGATGGTTCCCCAGGGAAAATTTGTGTCTGCATCGACCAGAGATCGCGGTTTTCCAGCTAACTTGGACCCTATCTTAAGTCGCCGAATCTTGAAGACCATTCAGATCTCACAATCTATCATTTTTAAGGCGTCCTCGGTCCCTCCTCTGTCCGTCCTTTGTCCGCCTGCCCATGGGGTCTTCCATGCCACACTTGACCGCGTCAACTTCCTTCTGGCAACAGGAAACTTCATGGAGGTTCCGCTTTTGAGATGCACAGGGAGTACCCACAAGGCGTTCTGGAGGACTTTGACGTCCAGTTTAATACTGCAAAGCCCTCCTGTGGCAAGTGATTCATCCCCCTTCCAGGACCTCCTCAAAACCAGGGTCCTCCCAATGTTTGACTGGTTTTCTTTATACTTTCTCACAAGTCTGACTGACCGGACATCATGTGAAGACTTATCCAGCCCAGCAGAGCCCTGATCCAAAAATTCGCGCCTGTAATAATCCAACAAGGGATCGATTTCCATTCCGTATACTTCCATGTCGTGCTCCCGTATTTTGCCCTCGAACTTTATCTTTCTGAAATTTGCATATGCACGACTTTTAAGTCCTTCGGTTTGACCAGTCCTCAGGCTGGGCTGATATGTTATTGGGAGTTTCATTTGAAATACGGCACATGAAAAGCACCGTTATCCTAATGGTTTTCAGCCATGGAAGAATTTATCCACTATCCTCTACATCGAGATCAAGAATCAGCTTTGCATGTAATTTGAACTCGTTCGCTTCGGACCTCTTTTTGATGGCTCGAGGAGAGTGAGGAGACTCACTTCCTAGACGCCATGTTTGCTGGAAGAGGTTATCATTATCCTCCATGGGCGGAAGAATGGATACGACCTTTGCTGTCCACTGGAAGATCTCTGCCAGCTTTCTTCATAACACTTTCAGACGTGCACCTTCTGCGTCATGCTTGCTACTCCATATGCACAGCCGTCAACTTTGCCGCGAGTTTAGTTTTGAGTTCCAGATGGGCTCAGCTGGAGAACTCAGCTCATTCTTTCTGCACGCCCATCAACTTGGGGGCTTAGCGTTGAGTTTCAACACGGACGCACAATTTGAGAACCCTTTAGAGAGCTTAATGGGGCATCCAGCACCAACCGGCACATTTTGGGAGATGCGACATGCGTTCCCTTCAAAGACCTTTTCGACAACATCTCAGGAGTTTAAGGAATTTTGCCTTCAACCTTGAGAATGCACCTTGGAACCCTCCTGGTACTTGCTTCACACCTGGTACTTATAAACACAATAGGGCTAAAGTATGTGGAGCAGTTATGTACACAAGCGCATTTGTGGGCAAGCCCATCGGGTAGCTCAGCATGGTTCAAGTCCGTCGTAAATGCAACGACTTTTTGCAAGGCACACTGTCTTCGAAAACACCGACTCCTTCCATGTCGATATGAGACATGTGATTACCATGAAAACAGATAAGGCTTGTGACTCTTCACAACATGTAGTGACATGAGTTAAATACATAACCAATCGCAGGAAAACATTTGGTGAAGATTCTAACTTATGGTGACAGAGCAATCTTTTTCTTTAGAATATGACAGAAAGGAATACCAGCTCCTTTAGAAAGCATAGAAAGACGCAGCAGCATTCAAGTGTTTGACTGGCATTTTTTCATATTTGAAGATGACAAAAGAAGAGTGGTCTCTCGAAATAGCTTACAAATATGCGCAGTGTTCTTTCAGTCAAATATTTGACTGAAATTTGGGTTTAGACTGAATCGTTCAAACAGCCTGTTGTGAACTTATACCAAAATCATAAACTAATTGTTGATATCATATGTAATTCAAATGACGATAGGCTTTATTTATGTTGTAAAATTCTTTATCGAAGGAGTAAGGAGATTTCTTAATCCCACACATCTATAAATCTTATTCTAAAACACTTGAATGGTCAATTTATTCTTGCTTAAAGCTTTCATGCAAGTGATATTTTTGATATCATGTTTCAATCTACTAATACGACCCGCTCTAAGGTATATTTTACTCATCATTAAATAAAAATGCCACGATTTCTATGCAACACTACATCCTTCGATCTCTGCACAGACTCATTGCGAGTCATTTCGTCTTTGTGCTGGAGCAAGGATTGTCCTCTGTGGGTCCATGAGAAATTGTTAAAACAGACGCTCAAATCAAGAGCTCGTTTCAACAGATTGCAGCTTAAAATCGAAACTATTTTACCTTGAAGAATAATAGCATATCTCGTCATCTTTCCCGGCTACCAGTATATATATAGAGAGAACATCTTTGACATTTTAAAATTCCGTTATGCAGTTTCAACGGTATTTTGGAAGTTGGTAGTTCGCGTTATAACCAGATTTTTTTTCACAACGTTCCAAGCCACTTAGCGAATCAGTGCAAGCCAAAAGAATATTGACATCCCAAGGTGACTTTAAACGACCAAATTCTAGTACAACGTACACATGTCTTGGTGTGTTTACAAAGTAAATTTGAAGCTTTGATGCTTAAAATCTCCCTCGTAAGCATCTAAACGAAAATATTTTCAACAACCACAAACTTAGTTGCTGCAAAGCAAAATGATGACGGTGTGTAAATGCAACTTTGCTGCACTGACATCACTTTCAAGTAAGAATGATCATCTCCTTTTGCTCGCTAAGCAAGTCATCCTTTACTGAAATGCTTAAAAAAACAACAGTATGTTAAACTAGAAATATGATGTTGAAATGTAGAGTTAAGTAAATTTTCTTGCAAAGTGCTTGATACATACAAGACATTCAAACCTCAAAGAGATCTGTATCAACAGGCTTGCTGAACTCCTATGGGTCCGCACATAGGAGAGACACCCGTACATTGTATTGATAATATGGTGTATGGATGAGATTGTGAATAAAGATCAGATCTTTGGAGAGAGCAATCTCAAGTTTAGGTTTTATCCTACAATGACTTGTATTAGATTATAGATATGAATAAACGTCGGCTTTCCCCGTATAGTTATTCGAGTATAGTCATTGTTGAAGAATTGAATCCACCATGACATTAAAAAAAATAACCTAGAACTGTATCTGGTTGCATTTAGCTGCATGACCTAGACCTAAAATTTGGTCTTCATGCTGCATTGTGTCAAACCTTGACAAAGTGTTTTGCATGGTCTTGGTAAAACAACATAGTTTACAATCAAAGAGACCTGAATACAAAGTTCAATATCCTTCAATGGACTTCATTATATTGAGAGAGTTGAGAGAATTCTTTAACAAACTAGTTGTCCCTTATTCTTATGGACAGAAAGAGACTGACCCTTCTCTAGTCGATTTAGGATCGATAATCTGCGCACAACACTATGCATCTGGCGTAGGGAACTCTCTGGTGTTGGTCCAAAATAGGATTTTCATAGAAAACACATCCACGTGAGAACTAAGTAAATTTTCTCATCGAAGATAAATCTACAAGAATACATATGTAACTTTAATAATTATACCCTAATAACCCACAAAGAATTTTCATCAGCCATCTTCCATAATAATGTGAACCGAATTGTAATTAACCATAATCAAATTTAGTAGAAACCTGATCTTCAACTATAGATTAATGAACATCGTTGCTAGGTACACATGATATGATAACCAACAGTCATGATGTATGACAAAGTCAGATCTAAACCTGGACTTATCAATATAAAAAACGAAGCTTCTATATGTGATGGAGGGTTTTCTTTGTAATTCAATCCCAGGATGTAAGGTGGGCTCATTTGTACCTCATTTGTGTATGTGGCTATGTAACTTCCCAGTAAATTGCTGGCCATCGGAAGTCATCTCCTGCCCACAAATTAAAGGGTTGGAGACTTCAACCCGAACATATGGAAAGAAAAGAGGATGAACAAATCAATCGTAGTTGAGCGTGATATTTAGACATGAACGATATCGATTTGACATGTGAGGACATGTGCCATGAGAGGGTACGCATGTGAAGACAACCAGCATTCAAAATATATGAAAGCTAAGGTTCTCCTTTATCTGTTAACGAAGGTCCTCCAACGAGAACCATTCAACAACAGCAATATTACTTGCACGTGAAGGTTCAACATTCCATTATCGTCAACCTGATGAATCCAAATGAAGGACGAATGACCAATGGGAGGTCATCATACAGTTCTGTGCGAAAGGAAGGGCGATATGCCGTATAGTCCGCCAGTACACTAACCCCCCACCATATACTACCACTTTCGACATGTCAACGATTCTTGACCACAGTTCTGTGGAAATGAGCGGTGCAGCAGTG